ATCTCATAATTCTTGGTTAAATGTATTTTGATGAATCATTTTGGAAATGTAGAAATGTTAGAAGCATTACAAAATAATTGATGAATAACGACTTATTTACTTACTCTTTCGGAGCACCTGAGATCAGCCTCCCTTTTGGATGGGTTCGTGTTGTTCCACCTTTAGTGTACTATGTTTTGTTTTGTAGACTATTGTTCTAATCATCACAAATGCAGGATAATGTATGGCCAAATGAACATTTATTACCGAGTATTATCATCGGTGTTACCAGAACTCCATTACAAGCACTATTATGAGAATCGGGTGATATTATGATCACTCTTGCGATTTATTTTTACTCTTATATCTGCGCTTTTTTTCATTGAATATGTTTAAAATTAAGAATGGAAACCGGGAATGTGTCAAAAAGACAACAACGCGACCAAAGAGCAAAAAAAAAGCCCAAGGCCACCAATGGGTCTTCAACACAGCGAGAAAATCCCGCACTCAGAGTCGGGCTTCAGCTAGCCCCTAAACAATAATGTATACTAATTCAGCGAAAATGAACGTCACACTAAACTCCGAAAAATATAAGTGTACCAAAATTTTAAAAAATCATACAAACTGGGCTCGATTAGGTGATGTTTCATCTTACAAAGTCTATCCAAATTATTTTTGCAAAGAATTCCGCTCAGGCCGGTGCTAGGGGCCGTCTTAAACTTGCAGTGAGGTGAGAGTTTTTTGGCTCCGTATTGAAGGCTTTACTGTGAGTTTGAGATGAAGAACAGCAATAAAAGCGCTGTTCCTTTGCTTTTTGTGTGTCCTGACTTAGGACAGGCGCAAAAATGCGGCAGGGTTAAACATGTTTTGTGAGATCTCAAACCTCCTCCTATACATCTAGCCAATGAGGAATAAACAAACACACAGCATTGTGCACAGTAAAACTCAGTTTAAAAGAAGTCTGAGTCCATTGTTAGAATAAGTAACAGAAGAAGCGAAGCAAAATTGCAATGCTCAACATAAATTAACAAAGGACAACTAACAGTGACTGACATGCCAGCTCCAGAACTCAATTTAACTTCATCATGCACAATCCCTCCCGTTAGGAATAAATGTGTTTATTTCCGATGCAAAGACCATAAGGGTGAATCAAAATGAATTCCAAAAAATGCCATCTTTGATGACCTGACAACAGTATATCCCTTCTGAATAAATCTGTTTAAAGGTTTGATTAGCTTTTGAGGTGAATGACGACATGTTTGTGCTTTGCATAGAATAGTACCATAAAAGATGGGATGTGAAATACCTGAACGCATAAGATGTCTGCATGTTGATTTATATTTACGACTGATGTCCTTGATAAAATTTAGTAAATGTTTTGACAAGTTGGTGATATCGAAAACCCTGGTTTAATAATTTTTCAGTAATACAGAGATTTCTTTCGTTAAAATCAAATACGTTGTTACAAACACGAGCGAATCGAACAAGTTGAGATATACAAGCACCATAAGATGGTGCCAAGGGAACGTCACCATCTAAAAATGGATAATTAACAATAGGAAATGAAAAATCATCTCTTTTATCGTAAATGTATCTAATCTAAAATTGAATGGCCTTTTTTGATAATTAGGAAACAAGCAACGCTCTAGAAAAAAAAACTATGTAACTATAAGTCTTTGTTTATATTAAAGGTAACCTTTCGGAATGCTGGGTTCTCAATGCTTTTCAACTCCATACTTTATTTGGCCTTTGAACTGTTTTATTCGAGCGTCTTGTAGACAAAACGCACGTTTGGCATTTTTTTTTTACTAGAAAGTAACATTTACCTTTAAAGAAAATTGTTCTTCATATTTATATTTTCTGTGAAATTTTAGATAAGATACGTTTCAAATAATTTTACATCAAAACCACACAAGGTGTTCTTTCTTATTAGACCAGTTTGAGATGTAATTCTTTTGTTTCAGTTTTTTTTTTCTTATAATTAAGGGCGGTTGTGCCGACATTCATAAAAATTTATTCATTTCCTATCATAAATATCACAACGATAACCCATAATTCATTTATGCTAAAAAGATGAATGTGTTGCCCCAGGAACTATAAACACATGGCTTTTTTCGTCAATTAGGAAATAAGCAATGCTCTAGATAAAACTAGGTAACTTACTTATCTTCATATGATATAATCTACCCTTCCTTGCATTAAAATAATTGTAAATTGGAAAGATGTTATACCAATTAACGTATCTTGTAAATTAACAGGTGGGGAAGTATTACAACAGAAATGCTTAACCCCAGATCAACAGTTGGTATATATGAATTCCGCCGCTGTTCACTATAGTGAAAATTGATATTCCTTGTAGGAATTAATAAAATCAAAATATTTAATTGGTGTTTTTCTAAAATGTCAAGCATATCTCTATTTTTTATTATGATAAGGTTTTAAGATATTCCATGATAAGATTTTTTCTTTGATAATACATAAATGAAGATTTCAGGAATTATAAAAAAAATTGACTGTACTACAGACTCCTTCAAAACATGGACGTGCTTACAAAGACAAACAACGAATGAGACGTATTCCAATTAGCCGTACTTGATAAAGGCATAAAATGAGTATAGTACAACCCGTGAAACATACACACAAACCTTGCCCTTTGACTATCTAGAAAATATATTTTGTAAACGTAAAACACAATAATTTAATTTTGGATGTAACGCGTCTTCTGATTGGCTGACGTTGTTTTTTTTTATCAGCTCATAGACATAATTTTGTCATGTGACCGTGACGTCATCAACGTTTTTTCATGGTTTACTCCGGTTTAAAATGAAATTTAGAATTAAATTATAAAAAATGACTGTAATATTTTTTCTGTCTATTCGAAATAACCTAAAAAATGTGGTGCACACTTTTAAATAACCCGCTACGCGTGTTATTCAGTGTGCACTACATTTTTGATGTTATTTCCTCATAGACAGAAAAAATATTACAGTCATTCCTTAAATAAATAAGCCTGCACATGTCTTATATACGACTATTCTGTGATTTTCTAACCGCCATAAACTGTAGAACATGAAGTTAAAGAGAGGCGAAAGATACCAAAGGGATATTCAAACTCATAAGTCGAAAGCAAACTGTCATCAGACAATGCCATGGCAAATACCAGTATATTAAACACAATATAGAAAACTAGAGACTAAACAACACGAATCCCACTAAAAACCGCGGGTAATCGTAGGTGCTCCGGAAGGCTAAGCAGATCCTGTTCCAGTTGTTGCACCCGCCGTGATGAATATAATTCGGTAGGTCACATTCAAGGAGAAGAGAATGGGATTGTGGCTACGACAATTTGAACATATATATGTCGTCACTTGTGAAACAGCTATTCCATAACGGTCAACCAATTTGTGATGGCGTCCGTAAAATTTTCAAAGGAATGATAAGGAATGCAAGCTCTAGAATATGGGACAAATATACTCCATATGCAGTCGCTGCTGGAATGTTGCTACATAGAAATGGAAAGTTCACAATTGGGAGGCTGAAATCATCTCTTTTGTCGTAAAGTTTTGTTCTCAACTGATATCGACCCTCATTGTCAATTTTTAGATGTAAATCAAGATATGATGACGACTTCACTGTTTATGTTGTATCCTTTATTTCAAGCTCGTTCCGATAGATGCGTTCAACAAAGTCACCAAATTTCGAGTTATTTAGTGAGGATACATCATCTTTATTGCAGAACATGAAGTAGACTGGTTCCCGATCGCAATATTCAGTATGTTACACATATACCAATATAACAGCTATTACCTGGAACGTAGTACCGGGAACCAGGATAAACATGAAGTTAAACGATAATGCTAGCTTCATTTTATTCTTCCTATGAAGTTCATTGGTTTACTTACGGGAAGAAGTGATATTTGTGGAATGTCAGGAATGTGACCGTCAGTTCTTTTTATATGTGACGTGTTTCAAGTGAATATATTTTAAATTTTGAGATTTTCTTGTATTGCTTTGCATATTTTCCATTCTTGCATGTATGTTTGACCATTATTTAACTGAGTGATACGGTTGAATAGAGATGTAACATCTTTTCTATGATGGTCATACATTTTATCTGTTTCAACCACCAAAAACAGAGAATAATCATGCACTTGAATATCAACTGATGTATTTGATAAAAGACCTGATTCGACATTGTAAATAGTACAAGATCAAACGATCACATGCATTAAAATCTATCTTTCTTCTTTACTAAGCATAAAAACTGTGTTAAATTATGCTGTAATGTAATCATCAACATACTAATTATAATTCTCCCACTAAGTGCACAGAATGCCTTAACTAATTAGAGACTTCTCGACAAATAGTTGTGTGATCTGAAAGAAATTTGTTTGTTTGTATTTAGCTGTGTTTAAAAGCACAACCACTAGGTGTATGCCAAAGTTAAAAATTTAATGATGTATGAGACACTTAATAATCTAGATGTTTATTTTTTCATTTTCATTGGTTAAAGATCGCAGGTTCTGATGCCAAAATTGACCACCTCAGATGATTTCAACTGTTCTGTTTAATCAGGATACTTTAATAATGTTTTAAACTATAATGATAAACTATATCTAATGGTTCGTTTCTGTGTGTGTTGCATTGTTGTTTGTTTTTTGTTCACTTCAGTGTTTCTGTTGTTTCGTTGTTTTCCTCTTAAAGTTGATGTGTTTGCCTAGGTTTTAGTTTGTAACCCGGATTTGTTTTCTCTCGATCGATTTATGATTTTCGAACAGCGGTATACTACTGTTGCCTTTATTTATTGCTCTTAAATGGTATATGCACTGGCTCCTCTTAAATTTGATGTCGTACATAACCGTCGTTATTCCAGAAATCGAAACTGTACGTTTATATTAGACTCATAAACTTCGACCTTGTATATCCTTAATTCACATTTACCTTATATATATCCTACTCATATTAGCTTCATAGATATTGAATTCGTGTTTGATAATTGACTTAAAACTTCTTTTCTTCAGATTACCAACTGATATACCCTATCATATCAGACGAACCTTATATTTCGACTGTATACTCCAACCAGAGACACCGCCGTAGTGCTCCACAACTCAGGAACGACCTGTTTTTAAATTTCACAGCTTTCAATCAAACATTCCAGCTTCATCTTAGACGTAATAAACATTTCGTAGCACCTCATTCCTATGTCCAATATCGATATTACAATGTATCATCATCATCTGAAAGTATTGATAAACAGTGTTATTTCAAAGGGAAAGTTGCTTCAAGGAGAGGAAAAGCTGCTGTATCCCTATGTGATGGTGTGGTAAGTTCTTTTCATCCACTATACTAAATTTGTTACACATGCTTTATTGCCAGGTGTTAAACTGTTATTCATTTGCATGATTGTAATGAGCATGGATTTGGATCAGCTAACATTTTGATCTAGAATTACCGTAGGTTAGTTATTTTCTTTAACAATGATCCCCAAGTAACAAAATATTCTTTCAAAACAACGGCATCTGATTATAAATTTATAGTTATAATACGATATGCCATTTTGAGACATCGTTTCCGTTTCTGAGTATATTAAGCCTTTTTGTGTATGTAAATACATGCAAGGAGTTTATTTTTTCAAAAAGCATTCTTGGACGTCAATAAATCATACACTCATAACTGTCCTTTAAATTCTATCCATGGTAAAATTCTGTTAAAATGTATTGGTGATTTCGCATGTTAAACAATGCCATTTCTCATTTTTTGTTTTTGTTTGTTTTTATATCTGCTTGTATGAATTGTACTGCAAACACCAAAGGCACAAAATACAGTTTCAGGATTGGATCTAGGGTTTTATCAAATTTTGCTTATGATGGACGCTTTTGGCTATTCATTTGTTGTCCCTTTTGGCTATTCATTTATTGTCCCTTTTGGTCATATAGCTCTTCATGTATTCAAGTACTTATGAGGCCCCTCATGAGGGTGTCCAAGTAATCACATAATCACAATTTTTTTGGCCAATATAATCACATAATCATTAATTATTTTTTTTAACAAGATAATCAAATAATCAAAAATAAAGTCCTATATTATCAAATAATCATATAATCATGAAATACTTGGTCGGGTAATCAAATAATCACTTAAGAACGGCCAAGTAATCACATAATCAAAAACCCCATGAGGAGGCTCACTTATTCATACTTGGCCTTCAATTTTTTGGGTTTTGTCATTCCTTGTGTGGGTAAATCCAGAAAAACAATTTGGACGCCACAAATGTATAAAGTTTTATTTTCATTTAATAGCTTCAGTCGGTTTTGAAAGGATACTGTTCTTTCGGTTGTTAATCTGAGAATAGTTTGCTTCAATAATTTTAAGTTAAAATTGAATCGTAATACATGTAAGAAGATGTGGTATGAGTGCCAATGAGACAACTCTCCATAAGAACGCTTTGTAAATAGTGGACCAAAATCTGTTGGAATGTATGCTATGGTATGATACTCATGTTGGAAGGAGTAATCACATGTAGCACTTGGGTATAACGAGTACATCCTAATTTTATTATTATGTTTGTTAATGTATTTCAATATAATTTCGCCAACAGAAACTTTAAAGTCTCACGTACGATAAATTTAAACCATTCCAGATAAAATTTGTTTAAAAATATTTATTGACTGATTGATAATTACAAATATCAGGGCAACTAATATGTAATTTGAGATAAAGAAAGAACCGATTGGTAAGGGGGTCACTTCAAAAGTTAGATATAACATGTGACTTATTACAAACTGTAAACAAATCCAGATATGAACTAGTTGATGTTGCGTAATGCAGTGATTAACAATCAAAGAATAACCAGCATGTTTATGTTGCTTCGTGACACTAGTGGTTAGCATTGTATATAACTTGTCTTGTAAATAGTTCTATACAGAAGATGACTGACAAGATGATACTCAATCAATAAAATATTATATCCAACAAAATAGGACAGATGCAAGAAAGTTATATATAACATGTTGATATTAAAGTTAAAAAATGACAAAAAAAAGAAAATGTAAGAAGGTCATCCCAAAGTTAACAAAATCTACCGACAAACATCTGTTCTTCATACAGTAAGATTTGAATCCATGCTTTAGAAATATCGTTGCAACACCGCCTGTATTGTGCCCAGTGCTCTAAATAAGTCAGACAACTTAGTTGTATAAAATTTAGTTATCGTTAGTCGAGTATACCTTTCCTCGTCGGCTTCATATAGTGCTATAATACAGTGCATGATGTATGATGGTATGTAGATAGAATATTTTGCGTATCAAATGTTTTTGTCAGTCGTAATATTATGCAGTCACATCAATATGCAGATCTAACATTGCTTGCCTAAATTTCCGACTAATTATATATATATATATATACATTTATACAAAGTGCATTATGGATCCTTTGTTTAAGGCTTAGTAATTGCACGATATATACGATCAGTCAATAATTAAGAACTATGTAGTCATTTATGGGTACATTTTGATAGGGTTTTCTTTACGCGGCGAATATTTTACAAGTAGTTATTTAGAGTACTGTTTGATAAGTTGTCTTTTATTCAAATGTAATGTACTCAAATGATATTAAGTAGTCATGTACGCGTACGAAATTATATTAAGTAGTCATGCACGCATACGAAATGATATTAAGTAGTCATGTACAGGTACGAAACTATATTAAGTAATCTAATTAATCATTGAGTTAAGCCATTTCAATTGATGTTTTATAGTATGTCTTTCTTTGTTGTGATGTTACACTATTGTTTCATGTAGGGTGAAGGTTGGCGCCTATTAAAACGTTAAACCTGCTTCATTTGTTTGCACCTGTCCTAAGTCAGGAACCTGATGTTCAGTGGTTGTCGTTTGTTGATGTGGCTCATAAGTGTTTCTCGTTTCTCGTTTTTTATATAGATTAGACCGTTGGTTTTCCTGTTTGAATGGTTTTACATTTTACACTAGTAATTTTTGGGGCCCTTTCTGGCTTGCTGTTCGGTGTGAGCCAAGGCTCCGTGTTGAAGGCCGTACTTTGACCTATAATGGTTTACTTTTACAAATTGTGACTTGGATGGAGAGTTGTCTCATTGACACTCATACCACATCTTCTTATATCTATATGCGCTTTCGAAATGATATTTAGTAGTAATGTAAGCGTATGGAATGATATTCAGTGTTCATGTACGCATACGAAATGATATTCAGTAGTCATGTACCCGTACGAAATGATATTCGGTAGTCATATACACGTACGAAATGATATTCAGTAGTCATTTATGCGTATGAAATGATATTCAGTGTTCATGTACGCATACGAAATGATATTCAGTAGTCATGTACCCGTACGAAATGATATTCAGTAGTCATATACACGTACGAAATGATATTCAGTAGTCATTTATACGTACGAAATGATATTCAGTAGTCATGTACGCATACGAAATGATATTACGTAGTCATGTACGCATACGAAATGATATTACGTAGTCATGTACGCATACGAAATGATATTATGTAGTCTGGTACATGTACGAGATAACATTAAGAAGTCATGTACGCGTGCGAAATGATATTCAGTAGTCGTGTACGCGTACGAAATGATGTGCAGATTGGCGCAAATGCAAAACGCCGAAAAATAAAATGTCCATCCCTGCAGAATTAAAGTACTAGTATTCTAACGATCGTGACTTACGTTTGACGCGTTAACTGCACTTAAAAAATAAATAACTTATTAGAAATAAGAAGATGTGGTATGAGTGCCAATGAGACAACTAGATGACTGACAAGATGATACGATATCAATGAAATATTATATCCAACCAAATAGGACAGATGCAAGAAAAGTATATATAATATGTTGATATTAAAGTTGAAAAACGACAAAAAAGGAAAAATGTAAGAAGGTCATCCCAATATAATTGTTTATATTAGTGAATTGGTTTAGCGAAATGGATTTATACAGCCGAATATTTACGCTATTTCAAAATTGGACCTTAACTTTAGCTATGAAATATGCAGTATATAAATTTAAAAGTTGAAATTTATATTTATTTATTTTCATTTATTGCATAAATGATAAACGAGCTGTTTGAAAGAGTAATATGTACAAATTGCATAGAATAAAACACACCATGCATTTTGTAAGAAATATGTTTTCTCGGTTATAATTTGTCGACCCTTTTGATAGCAGATTATATTTCAAAAGAAAACATAAAAATCTTAGAATATTAAAGTTATGATGTCAAATGAAAAATGTGTTCAACACCGAAAGATGAACTACCTACATTCTGATAAGAACAAGCGTACTTGGCAGAATTCCATATAATAATATTCATTTTTATCAAGCTGCAAAAGTGTGTGGATACAGAAAAAAAACCCACTTATTATTATTATTATTATTATTATTATTATTATTATTATTTCCGGTCGACTAATTTAACTACTTTTTGACAACTTTACCTATTATGCCTGTTTGTTTTGTTCACACATTGTTGTCAATATAATGGAATTTTATGCGACTGTCATACAAGTGAGAGGTTTTGCTAGCTATAAAACCAGTTTTAATCCACCATTTTCTACATCAGGAAATACATGTACCCAGTCAGGAATATTACAGTTGTTTTCCATTCTTTTGATGTGTTTGAGCTTTTGATTTTGCCATTTGATAAGGGACTTTCCGTTTTGAATTTTCCTTGGAGTTCGGTATTTTTGTTGTTTTACTTTTTCCTCATGAGATCTCAGGAACTGAAAGCCATCTATATTTGGTATGGAAGTATGTCGTAACTACGTTGTCTATGTCAAGAAAATTTATGGCTAGTCTATAGCCCATTCACTGGAGGGGGTATTTGGGACATAAAAAGGGATCATTGTGCAAAACCTATTTGCTAATCTTAACATTTGTTGTTCTTGTATCCATTCATAAGAAAAGCATTGCAACCCAAGAAGACACCCCCAAACCATTACATCCCTCAATATATTCATGACGATTGTTATCAATATATATATATATTAATAATTGTAATTCTTATTTTAATAATCCAAATTAATATCATCTTTGTCAGTGGACGGTAAGTGCGGACCGTGAAATGGATATTGGTACCAGGATACATGTGAAACGAAAAAATAGTTTTATTATTGATGCATGCTCATTGCAAACCGGATAAATAACTAAAAGCTCATTGTAAAGGATCAGATATTTGCGTTGAAAGCAAATTGATCTATAAAGTACTGTATGCACTGTGATCATAGTCCAAAATATTAAATGATCTTTAATTGCATATAAAAACTGTGACAGAAGAATAAA